AGCAGAGACCTTTGACAGCTTTAGTTTTGTATATTTTGTCATCTTTCTCCCTGTTTCCTTGGACAGCCTTTTGCCACAATTCACCATCATGTGCCAGGTCAGTGTGCAGATTAACCTTGATAAGGTCCACCCATTTCTTACCCAAGAGTTGTCTTTGATCCATGCTGTGTTTATCTTTCTTTCACCATTATTGTAAGAACCATCCTACCAAAGTGACCCTTAGATCTTTACAGGACATACTTATACCAATGTAGCTTAGCTTTCCTTGACATGTCATCAGTTGGAGAAACCCATGAGAGGTCCCTCACTTCCTCATTTTGTTTCATTCTGTGAACTGCCCAACCGTTTAACCATCGCTAGATGTTAATTTTCATGGAGAGAAAACATTTCTTTTCATGTGATTGACCAACTCTCCATTCCCTAGAGTAGAAGGGCACATTTTAATTTTCAATTTTTTTTTTCACTTTTCAACTTTTCCTAGCTTTGTATTCTTCTATTCAATATAAATATATTTTTTGAAAACTGTTGATTCATCTCATTATATATTTTAAGGCTAGAAAGGACCATTAGTCAAGAATTGTGAAAAATCAGTTTCTTCAATATGCGTGTAGAGTATCAGATGGCTTACAGTCTAATTGAACAAGACAGACTCAGGCAAAAGATAAGAATACACAGAGACAAAAAAAGGGTAGTTTTCGTTGAAGGTGAGCGTTTGATGTGGAGCCAATCAGCTAAAATAGGGGTCAGCAACCTATGTCCCAAGAGTGGGATCTGGTTTGCAGAGCCATTGGATTCCACCTATATACATGGCGCTTTGGAGGCATTTGGCAGTGGAGGGCTTTGACTGCAAATGTTCTCCCTGTGCCATTGCAGAGAAAAGCAGCATTGGTGGCTAGGTCCCAGTGCCCACCTTCCCACCTCTGACCTATGGTGGGTCATTCCAGACTACAAATGGAAAAGGTTGCTTACCCCTGACCTAGACAGGAGGAAAGAAGTGATGAGGATAAGTGGGGGACGGGACAGAGGAGAAGAAATATGTAAAGTGGCAGGTATGAAGTGAGGTGAAGACACCATGAGAGAAGAGATTTGAGCAAACTAAACAGTTGGTACAATAAAGTATATTACCAAAAAATCCTTGCCTTTCACATATTTCCTGGACCATCCCAGCTCCAATATCATTCTAACCCTACTGTCAGTTTGGGACAGAAGAGGGTTAGTCAAAGTTGTGGCAAACTCTCTTATGCTGTTAGTTTATTAACTTTGGCAGAGGAAACAAATAAAGATGATCCCTTCTTGAATGTTTCCCCCAGAGTATATCTTTTTCAGACTTCCCATAGTGCCTGAAAACCCTAAGTTCATGCAAATATCAATTTCTGGAACAGCTCAGACATGAGCCACACTTCAGGTTTTACATTAAAGCACAAACAGCTGCTTCTCTGCATGGAAAAGCCAACTGAACTGTCAAATTTTAGCAGATACTTTCATTCTCTTCAGTTTCTATCCTTCCTCCTTGAGTTGCCCATACTGAGCAACGTGAAGTTGAAGGAGACAGACCCAAGCTTTGGAGAGATTTACTCACTGCATCATTAAATTTTCTGAGGCATCTGCCTTGTAAACAAAATTCTTTGGAAACTGCAGAAGTACAATGTGTGAGCTATACATCCTTCCCAGCAATCATCTATCTGACAGTCTGGGAAATGCCCTGAGCAGATTCTGGCTGGTGTCAATACAATGGAGTAATGACAGTTCACATTAGATGTGGTCCAGCCCCTTGCTGTCCTGAAACTTATATTGGAGTGGGAAGATTTCAGGTTAGACTCTCAGCCACTATAGATTATTTATTTTATTTCTGCTGAAGACCTTCCCTCCACACTGAGGCTTGCACTTCATGTTTCATCTGGAATATGTAGCCTGTCCAGTGATGGATTTCTGCTTCCTTCTCATGTGTTTAGAAAGTCTCTGTTAGTAGCATATAAATAAACATTGCAGTTAGTTGCCTGAGTATCAAAATGGTAGATGTAGGGGGCATCTACATGAGATGCATTAATGTTCATTAGCCTAAGTTAATGCACATTATGGCTGCATGTATACATTAACTTAGGCTAATCGTGCCTAAGTTTGATACCTGCAAATGCAGGTATCAAATTTAGGCACAATTAGCCTAAGTTAATGTGCATTAAGGGCGCACACATGTAGACACACACACACGTAATGTGCATTAACTTAGGCTACTGCGCATTAACACATCTGATGTAGAAGCGTCCTATGTCTACCATTTTTCAGGTATCAAATTTAGGTGCAATTAGTTAAAGCACATTAACGCATATTTAGATGTGACCTGCCACTAACTTTAGTGCTGGGTCTGCCCAGTCACTAAGGGGCTGCCCTGAGACCAGCCCTATGGCTCCTGGCTGACTGCTTCTTCTCCCCCAGGGCTTGGCTGCTCTCTGGCAGCCCCTAGATGCATGCTATAAAAGCCTGTAGCCATTATGTGCTTGGGGCACACACACCAGGGTCTGAGGGAGCCTGTTGCTGTGTGCAGGAGCCCAGCAAGCCCTGTGTGCCCCCCTGGGCAGGACCCAGGCTGTCTCTGCCTGTCCTGTCCCCTAGCCAGAGCTGCTGCTTGGCCACAGGTGAGTGTTGCAAAGGGCTGCAGCTTGCTGCACCCCCTGCCCAGCCCTGAGATTCCCCTCAAGGCTGCTGGTTGGCTGCCTGTGCCAGCAGGGCCAGCACCTGCTCCCTGCTGCCGCTCACCCTCAGCTGTCTGTCCTTGCAGGTGCTGTGACGGAGTGCCTCTGCCATATGACTCGCTGTGTCCGTGTCCAGAGTGCTGCTGGAGATGGGTGGATCACAGTGGCTGTGAGCTAGGCACTGGTGATGGTGAGTGGCCAGGAGGATCAGGAGATCCCGTTCCTGGGTGCCAGGGTCAGGGGCTGGGGCAGCCATGGCTGAGAAGTACAGGTGGGGCAGGAGCAGAGCTGACACGTACTGCCACTGTCCTTGCCACACTGCTTCTCTCCACACAGGAAGGCCACAGAGTGGGGATGTGTTTTAAAAATGACTCCCAAGTGCTGGCAGCTGGCTCTGGCTTCAACATAGTTGCCAAGTGCTGGCAGCCATATGGCTGGAGGCTGGAGCTCCTCCCCGAAGGCCACAGAGGAATTTGGCAGGGTTGAAGGGACTTGGGACTAACTTTAGTGCCAAGTGCACTAACTTTAGTCCCAAATCTTTGCACGTGTACACACCTGGCAAAACTCACGTAATAAGCACTTGCTTAATATGCACTAAATTTAAGCATGCTTCAGTGCACGTGTAGATGCGCCCATAATGACATAATCATATTTTTGTATACAAATTCTCAAGCTATGTTCTGTTTTATTACTTGATATTCCTTTTACATTTGGGTCTCCATCCAGAGAACATGCATGACCTGGAAGAAATTGAGAGACTCACTCTTTCGGCTTTGTTTTATACAGGGCTCAAAGATGACTATTATAGATGGCTCCAACCAAAGTGTATGAAGGGTGAGCAAGCCCAATCAGAGTGAGTTTCAAGTCTAAGTTTGCAATATTAAACTTTAAATACCACATGGCCTGGCCTGAAATATTTAATGTGTGGTTAGTTTTGTGTCCATGCAGAATTTTAAAGCAAAACCAAAAATGAGATTGCTGAGCCTAGACAAATACCTTGAAGTACACGAGCTTTTTCCATGCTCAGCCAGATTGTTTTTTCTGGGTTGTACAGCAAGTCAGCGGCACCACATGAAATGTTTAAATGATGGAAAATTCTAAATGTTGCCAGTATAGTTTGATGTGATAATCTTTCCCTTTTGACTCTTACAAGCACTGCCTACATCTTGTTTTTACTTAAATTAAGCTTTTGATGGCTATTATTGTAATCACAATAGCTTGATACTCTGGAGGACAAGGAACTCTCTGCTCCCATCTGTTGGTGACCAAGGGGAAGAACAACCACAGAGCCTTTATCATAACCTTTATCATCTTATTTACTTAGAACTCTAAATGGACAGAGGCACAAGAGAGGAAAAGCCCCTTGCCCCAAATCTTGATAGAAAGGAGTAAGTACAGTTACAGACACAGTTCATTTTCTAATAGATCTACCCAGAATGCCTTCAATGATAATATGCAAGTACCCAAACCATAGGTGAACTTTGAACTGGTTGGAAAATTGGATTGTTCTGGGAGAGAAGGGCAAATGTTATATTTTATGTCATGGCATGCATCTTTGGTGCCAAGGATTGTTCAGGGATTTAAAAGCTTCCAGTTCTCCTCAGCTGTAGGGGCGTACTATGAGGGACGCTCTTAAAAAGGGCATAATGCAGAGGAGAGTAGCAGGAATGCGCAGTCTCCTTTAACACCCAGCCAGCCTAGATCTAGGAATAAAATAAGACATGAGTTATAGCTGTTGTGGCTGCAAACAGACATTTAACTTATTCCTAGACCAACCACTTTATCCCAGGACAATGTGCAGTTGTGCAGCATCCATGTCCAGTGTCCCAGGATAAATCATAAAAAAGTTTCCTGGATAAGCGGTAGTAACAGATTAGCCAGAGATAGTGCAAAGTACATTTGAACAGTTATCCTGAGATTGCACTAGTGAATCAGTGACAGTAAAGTGGAAATGCATTCAGCTGCTCACTAGACCCTGATTAGCATGGTGACGTGTGGGTGAGATTCTCTCAGGGCATTTTTAAACGTGCTTTGGGATGCAGTGCTGGGTGCTTTAATTAGTAAGCTGAACTAATTAAAAGTGCCTGTGCGTCATGTGTATCAGTATCCCCGTGCTGAAAAAACAGTGGCAGGGCGGTTTGAACTAAAGCTCATTGAATTTGTTTTATTTCAAAGCATGCTGCCACCATCTTTTCAGTGCTGGGATGCATGGGGCTTCTGATGCACGTGACGCCCAAGACTGCTGGAGCATGCCAATTTCCACGCTCCAGCAGACTCAATTAATTGAGTCTGCTTTGACACATTGGATTTCCAGCACATCAGAGCAGGTTCCCTGCATGTCTGTAGGAGCCTTCAGATATCTTCTGTCAACATCAATTGCCTTGACAGTAGCTACCATGCTTGGAGATGTAATATCAGGTTAGTAGTAAAGCAAGGTTAACTCCTGGTTCTCATTGAGGACTTCAGTCACTCTGGCATCTACTGGGAGGAGAATACAACAGCACATAGGCAATCCAGGAAGTTTTTGGAGAGTGTTGTGAACAACTTGATGGTACAAGTACTGGTGCAGCCAACTAGGGGCTGTGCTTTTCTTGACATGCTGCTCACAAACAGAGAAGATATAGTAGATGGCAACTTGGGCAGCAGCAACCCTGAGATGACTGAGTTCAGGATCCTGAGAAAAGGAAGGAAGGAGAGCAGCAGACTAGTGACCCTGGACTTCAGAAAAGCAGATTTTGACTCTCCCAGGGAACTCATGGGGAGGATCCCCTGGGAAGCCAGTCTGAAGGGGAGAGGAGTCCAGGAGAGCTGGCTGTACTTTAAAGAAGCTTTACTGAGAGTGCAGGAACAAACCATCCCGATGTGCAAGGAAGATTAGCAAGTATGGCAGAAGACCAGCTTGGCTTAGCAAGGAACTCTCCAGTAAGCTAAATCACAAGAAGGAAGCTTATAAGAAGTAGAAACTTGGACAAACAACTAGGGAGGAGTGTAAGAGTATTGCTTGGGCATACAAGGATGAAATCAGGAAAGCCAAAGTGCAATTGGAGTTGCAGGTAGCAGGAGATGTAGAGGGTAACAAGAAGGGTTTCTATCAGTATGTCAGTAACAAGAGGAAAATCAGGGGATGTGTAGGTCCCCTTACTGAATGGGGGAGGCAACCTAATGACAGAGGATGCAGAAAAGGCTGAAATACCCAATGCCTTTTTCACCTCAGTCTTAACAGGCAAGCTCAGCTCCCAGACTACTGCACCTGACAGTACAGTTTTGGGGGAGGTGAACAGTCAACTGTGGTGAAAGAACAGGTTGGGGACTGTTTAGAAAAGCTGGATGTATACAAATCTATGGAGCCAGATGGGACGTGCCCGAGGCTGCTGAGGAAGTTTGCTGATGTGATTACAGAGCCACTGGCCATCATCTTAGAAAATTCATGGCAGTCAGGAGAGTTCCCAGATGATTGGAAAAGGGCAAATATAATGCCCATATTTAAGAAAGGGAAAAAGGAGGGTCCAGGGCACAACTGATCAGTCAGCCTCACCTCAGTTGCTGAAAAAAACATGGAGCAGATTCTCAAGGGATCCATTTCTAAGCACTTGGAGGAGAAGAAAGTGATCAGGAATAGTCAGCATGGATTCACCAAGGGCAAGTCATGCCTGACCAACCTGATTGCCTTCCATGATGAGATAACTGGCTGTCTGGATTCAAGAAGACCAGTGGATGTGATATACTTTGATTTTAGCAAGGCTTTTAATGGAGTCTCCCACAATATTCTCATAGGCAAGCTAAGGAAGTATGGGTTGGATGAATGGACTGTAAGGTGGATAGAAAACTGACTGGGTCATTAGGCATGTGCAGATGCTGTGCCCAGGACTGCAGCAGTTTGAGCTGGGGCAGAGCAGCCCCAAGCTGGCAGCAGGCTCAGGGTGGGGTTCAGTCCCAGGCTCTGGGTCATGGCATTGGGTGGTGAGGGGTTCAGGCCCAGGCTCTGGGTCATGGCATTGGGTGGTGAAGAGGCTGGCTGGGGCATGAGAGTGCCCCAGCATGTGGAGACATGATAAACTCCAGAGCAAGCTGCACTGGAGTTTATCACATGGCCTTAATGGCACGTGTAGATGTACCCAGTCATTCCTACAGATACATCGCTATGGTATATTCCTCAAAATGTGTTCCCTTTTCCCCCTAATAAAGTTTTCCTTGTTTTCTTGTTTCCTAAGTTCTCATGAAGGGAGATAAATTGCTAGTAGGGCATCCATAGAGGTTATTTAGGACTTGTCTCTAATACTACAGTGGTGAGTCCTGATACTAGAGAGCTTGAGCATGCTCTGTACCTGGGGAGCTTTGGCATGCCCTGACTATCTGAGCCCTTGGGCATGCTCTGCACCTGGGGAGTTCACTTGATAAGCTTCTATGGGCTTGTCCGCAGTGCCTCCTGCCAGGCCCACTGGAGATAGGGCTTGAAAGTGGATGGGAAGGGATGAGCTTGGAGCAGCCTCACTGGTGAACTTCTGGATATGGATCCACAGGCTCAAGTGGATAGGGCATGGACAGGGTATGCTCAAGCCCTCAGTTCTTGGGGTGGTGGGGCAGGGGGTGCAACTGTTGTGGTGGCACAGTAGTGCTGTTAGTGTTACTGGAATTTCTGTCTGGGAGCTTGAGCCAACAGTATTTGTTAATTTTAGGAGAATTCCCTTGGTTTTTAAAATAGCCTATGTTGTGCTGAGAACAGCTTGTTAAGTCTTTCCAGGTGTGTAGAATTCTGTATTTACAACAGCCATTGACTGATTAGTTTTGCATTACACTGTGCTGAGTTGGACTTGATTGATTAGAATCTCCAGAGGACAAAAAGCCCCTTGAAGTAATGTGCTGAAACCAAAGACGAGATGTTTGCCTTCATTGTCCATTAACACTGAGGACAATTGACTAAAAGAGGAAAAATGGTAACAGAATATTACATATTGTATCTAGGAAAAATCCAGAAATCAATATTGTATCTAGGAAAAATTTGGGATAGTCTTTTTACAAACTTTGTACAGTATTTCATGATTTCTGAATGCTCAAGAAGCTTTAGGATTAACACATTATTTTAGTCACTTTTATTTAATAGTTGTCTATTTCCTGTTGCTATAACTTGAGAGGTGTGGATATTAAATACACAGTATGTTACTGTTGAAGTTAATTTATTCACAGACTGTAGCAGGCTATTCTTGGTATCACTTGACCTTGATAATGAACATGCATATTTAGTATTTCAACAACTTTTACTGTCCCAAATGGCAAGGAGCTTAATCTTGCTCCTCATGTACTAAGAAGCAGGCATAATTCTCATTACTTATTTTTCAGCTATTCCATTCTTCTCCTTTCCCTTTCCTTGTCTCTTAAGAAGAGCTGGAATTTAAAAAGCAGAACATAACATCAGATTTCAAAATGATCATGAAGATCCTTTTCAAATGTTCAAAGCCACCATAATTTGCAGTTTTCTGACTGGTGGTTCATTATCCATTTCAGAGACTGGCCCTGGTTTCTTTGGCCTGCACTTGAAAAGATGCAGTCTGGGCACAAATGATTTCCTGTGCTAGCTTTGCTGCTGTAGCTGAACAAGACATCTTGCATGTTTAGCATCTTCCATTATTGAAGCTGGTGGATGAGACATATGCTGTGCCTTCCGCTGTGATGGGCATTGCAGATGGTAGTCTTCCAGGAGCGCAGATAAGCTGTACAAGATGACAAAGTAAGACTGCTTCTGCCTTGGTGTTGTGTGTGCACTAATTAGCTTGGGGATGGGCTACTTGGCCCTCATATTTAACCTACCTGGAGCTACTGTGCTTCCAGTTCAGGAGTCAGCATACCCGGAGCAACACAAAGTGCTTTAGACCACCACTGCCAGGCATGATAAGTTTACTGTATAGACCTGGCCAAAAGTAGAAAAATTCTGCCCCACACTGAAAGCAATGGGACTGTATGGTCTAAGGCCTGAATCAGTCAAGTATTTAAGCACATGCTTAGCTTTGACCAAGTGCTTTCCTGAGATGATACCTGATTCTGCTTATTATCCAGCCCCATTTACTTTATTGTACTCTTTTTAAAATAGTGCAATGAGGAGTGTGCAACCCGGAGACCAGCCCTGCACACCCACGTTGAGAGGGAACAAGAATGGCAGCTGCTGCCACTGTCCACCTAGCT